TTATAGGGTTGATATAGGGGTATAGCATGTCCAGCACAACTGTTGTCATACACGTTTTGAAGTTTAAAGGCACGAGAGTATGCTTTGGCCTTGTCGCGTTCACGGCGGCCACTGCGTGAATCGTCTAGTGGGCATGCTGAAGCCCGTCATGCAGCAATGCGCAAACATCAGAATGTCAATAATAAAGGTTTGCACTGCTACGACAGGACCGGCTGGGGTCCCTCTGCAGGAAGCTCAATGGGGGCACAAGCCATTTAGCATGGCAACGGTATCATCATGTCAGGGGCCCATAATCCCAAAGAGTCACTCCAAGGGAACCGTCCAGTTTAGCCTGAGAACTTACATCCGGACAGGTCGAATGCTGACAACTCCCAGCACCCACGCTCACAAGACTTGCGGGATAAGATCCCAAACCATGCATCCCTGAACCCCTCACCTGTTTTCCAACCCTAAACCCGAAAGCCTAAACCGCAACCGTACAGGGCGCCAGTAGAACTCAACTTGATGCCCCTTGCCCGGAACCGGGAAGCGATCCTACATCACACAAACGCTGCCCTTTTAAAGACGTGGTTGCCAAAAAGACTGTTTTAATGTTCTACTCTTCTTGGTGGTCAAGGGGACCTGGTAAGTAATGCGGCTTATAGAAGTTGTTATCCTGCTTACTTGGCCTTACGACGACCCTACAAGCAAATCTTTGATTTGCAGATGTGTCACAGGTACACTTATAAGTGTAGCTTCCCTTGTCCTGTTCATTCCTTCTGTGGTCCGCTTCTAAACCCTAAACCCTAGCCCCTGAACCCCAAACCCTACACCCTCTATTCCATTCCTTCAGACACAGCCCTAAACGGCAACTCTAATCCCAAACCCAAACCCTCAATCCCTAAGTCCCAATTCCTAAGCCCTAAATCCCATGTAGCCTCCTCTATAACCCCCTTATGAGCTTTAGTCTAAACTCATGGTATCCCCCTTAATCAGCCCTAGAATACTCCCCTACATAATTCCCTATATCTATAATCCCCTTTTAAGGAGTTTAGACCGTGAACCCTAAACCCTATATAACCCCCCTTAAAGGAGTCTAAACCCTACGTATATAACCCCCTTTAAAGAGTCTAGACCCTAAACCCTGAACCCTATATAACCCCCTTTAAGGAGTTTAGGCTCTAGCTCATATAACAGTGACACACAGGCTCTGGCCAGGAGGGTGGAGGCGAGCAGCACGACGCACCCTCGATGCCGGCGGCCTTGATAAGAAAAGCTCATGCGCATAGGGTTTAGGGTTTTAGGGTTTAGGGAAGGTTTAGGGTTCAGGGTTTAGGGTTTGGACACCCCACCCTGTAACAGTGGCATAATAGGAATCTAAGAGGACCCTAGTGTAATCCATACTGTCCATTACAGTCACTGTTCCTGTCCACCTAACGCATACTGCGCAAGGTCACAGCGACTTGGATGTTTCCGCAAAAAAAGGGACCCCAATATAGACCCCCAAAATACTATAACCCTTCTTAAGGGGACCCCCAGAAATGGACCCCTCATTTTGAGAAAACCCCATTACAGTTGAAGTGGAAACCGTTGAAAACAGATGAGCCGTAGTCAAAACTCCTAGTAGCCCTTGCACAACCACTATATGCGCCAGCATCCACCACCCCCCCCCCCCACCCCCCCACCCCCATGGTATCCCCCCGCACCCCCCCCTGTGGCCTGTGGTCTGGGTGATGTTCTGTGGTTTAAACTAAGGTTTAGAGAA